GGAGGCAGGAGTTTAAATGACTGGCAGAGGGATTGTTCCAAATAACAGGAAAGTCAGTCATGTATCCATAGCTTTGTATATCTAGTAGTAGAAGATGGAAAGAGTTCATGTCCGATGGCTTCTGCTTTCTCTGTGAGGTCAAAGGCAAGGTCATCTGCTGCAAGAGGGGTTGTGGGAAGGTTGAAAGCTTGAAAAGGGTGCAAAGGAACTGAAACAGTTGATACTAAGAGGGAAGTGATGAGTGGAAAGCTGTGTGGGGTTGCCAGGTATTTTTGAGGGCCCAGTTGAGACTGGTGTGTGACTTTGTAGTAGAATTAATATGCCCCATTGTTTGACTCTCTCAATTATTGTTTGGCCACGTGAGGGCTGGCTAAAAGTAGGTACTTGGGTTCATCCAAGGTTGTGGTTTTGTCTGTTGAATGTGACAAGATAGAAGGGGTAGGAGAGGCTAGGGCACTGGCAGAATTCTTGATGAAGTGCTGGACCTGGAATTTAATCTGGATAAGAAGGGATGTGCCACAGACTCACTATTTTCCACATTGGACCCCTCATTTTTTTCTTATAAACCTTATCCCTGTCAAGGACTGCAAAGGGTCTGGGATTTTTACATACTTACAAGCTAATAAATTAGCCTCTTACTGTTTCATGGATGTGGCAGAAGACATGAGACTCCTTGGTCAGGGACACGGGACTTTATCACTCACAGTGCAGCAAGTAGCATGGCGTGATGCTGGTTTGCATCAGTCCCTTTGCTCCCCACTTTTCACGGGGGTAACACATGGGCCTGGATGGATGCTGCACACACACCGGATTTGTATCACAGCCTAGAACCACTGAGCTTGGGGAATTTACCACTTTTATAGTAAGTAGGAGCAAGCCTGCTCAGGAGACATTATCTCATTACTCAAGATTGCTCATTGCAAATACAACCTTGAGAAATGGCCATGTAAAAGTGACTAGGGCCGGGGCCGGTCTGGTGGCGCACTCGGTAGAGTGCGGCGGCGCTCCCGCCGAGGGTTCAGATCCCATATAGAGACCGGTCCGCTCACTGGTTGAGTGCAGTGCGGGTGCGACACCGAGGGTTGCGATCCCGTTGCTGGTCACGAAAAAAGACAAAAAGGAAAAAAAGAAAAAAGTGACTAGGACCTTCTATATTTACATAACCAGCAAGAATGTACAGAAATGCTCAGAGTTCATGGCCCTCTCCCAACAGTGCTGGTAAGGAGGGAACTGCTTTTTCTTTGTTTGCCATTTCTGTTCATGGTTCCTCTATCCTTCAGGGTACTCAGCCTAGAAAATCTCATTCAGTTGGCACAGATTATAGACTATCCCAAAGTAACTGCTGCAGAAAGGTCCTGCTTTAGAGGATCACTTGTATTTGGTCATGGCTTTTGGGGTGGGAAAGTAGTAGGGGGTGGGTGACAGGTTGTTTTGAATGCCCTTAAAAGTTCTGAGACCCTTTAGAGCCCACCCTTTGATGTTCCTCTCTAATACATTAACAGCTCAGTAAGAGGGACCTAAGCTAGTCCTGCTTGCCCAGGATTTTTTGGAACCAAGAAAGTAAAGAGGTATCAAACCAGTCAGGGTTTCTAGGATTTGGGGGCCAGCAATATCTCAGGTGTGGTCCAGCAAGGGGAATTAGTGTTGTCACTTTAAAAGATCTGCATGCTTCTTGTCTTCAGTTTGGCAGAATGATATTCCAGATTGGCTGTCATCTAACCAGTTTGTTACTCTCTGAGGAACATACTAAATTGTTAAACACTCGAACTTTATCAAGGAATGGTTAAGACTTATGAAGAAAATAAAGAAAAATTAAATAAATGTGAGATATACCACATTATTAAATTAGAAATGGAATATTAGAGTGATTTCAGTTCTTCTCGAACTACTTTATACCTTAATGCCATTCAAATCAATCGTAATAAGATTTATTTTTTAATTTGACAACATAAATTTAGAGTTAATTTTGAAAGAATAAACAGATATCTGTACCATAGTCAATGTGAATGAAGGATAGGTATTTGAAATAAATTCTCTCTCATGGGAAAATCAAATTCTCTTTTATGGGAATTTGGAGTTGGGACAGTCATTTTGGGCTATCAGTCTTGACCCGATACAGGAGACATACATAGGCTTGGTTTTTGTGCTTGGAGAAGCAAAGAAAGTCATCCTGTAGAAAGAAGAAAAACAAAGCAGATATGAAGAGAACAAGAGAGAAGACAGGTGGAGAAAATACCACCAGTTTCTAGCCTCTAGCCTTTTCCTGAGGTGGCAATATTCCTGCCTTTTCGTTCTGTGATCTGTCCTAACTCCTTAAAATGGATTTTCCTTTATTTCTTAAGCTCGTTTGGATTAGCTTATTTACTGGAGACCAAAATGTCTTGGATGCTGGGGGTACAGCATAGAATAAAGCAAACAAAGACCCTGCCTCCAGGAGCTTACATTTTAACCAGGAGGAAGCAGACCACAAATAAGTAAATACATGCTAGATGGTGTTGAGTCTTGTAGTGAAAAATAAGACAAGGTAAGAGGCCTAGAGAGGGAGAGTGGTTGGGTGTGTGTGTGCTATCAGCAAAGGACTCTCAGAGAAGGTAACATTTGAGCCGACTTGGTGGGAGTATGTCGGGTCTGCCACCAGCTGACCCAAACAGCCCTTGCCTTGCTATCAGTCTCTCCCTTGGTGTCTCTTCTGGTGAGCGGGCAGATTGCCCAGATTCCTCTTTCCCTGGTCCCCGTTGAGAGGAGATGGAGGAAGAGAGCCGTGAAGAGAGGTGAGCACAGCTGCCGGCCCCAACCAGCCCGTTAAAGGACACTCAGACGCAGAGGGGGTTCTGTCGAGCAGTTCCGTTTATCATCACACAAGCACTTGCTTTTGAAGGCAAATGGGGAAGGGAGGTTTTTACATCCTCCAATCAGCTTAAAGGTTACGAGAGCATGCATCCTGTCTCAATGCCTGGCTATTGCAATCACGCAGTGTTCTCGAGCGCGGAAGCGCATATTTGGCCAATAAGGGCTAAGGCAAGGTTCCTGTGGACACTCCCACCCTACTTCCTCCCGGCGCTGTCTTAGGCTGCCACGTTAATACACCCTTGTGGGCCCATACTGGCACCGCTTGTAATGTCACTTAAGGTGGCATTAGTTTTTAAGACCCGACAGAAGTAAGCAGTAGAAACATCAGGGACAAGAGCGGTGCAGGCAGAGGGAAGAACAGATGCAAAGACGCTGAGGCTGGAGCCTGGTCAGTGTGTTCAAGGAGCATTGAAAAAGCTTTTGAGTGGCTGGCTGGTTAGCTCAGTTGGTTACAGCACGGTGTTGATAACACCAGGGTGAAGGGTTCGGATCCCCTAATCAGCCAGCAGCCAAAAAACAAAACAAAACAAAAAACAAACAAACAAAAGGAAAGCTCTTGAGCAGCTGCAGCAGAGTGAGAGAGTGATAGATGAGGTCAGAGGGACATGTAAGAGATTGTATAGGGCTCTGTAGGTCAAGATAAAAAGTTCAGCTTCACTCTGAATGCTGTGGAAAACCATTGGAGCATTTAAAGCAGAATAGTGACTTGGGCTTTAGAAGGGTCACTAGCTGCTGTATTTAGTTTAAAGGACACTCAGACGCAGAGGGGGTTCTGTCGAGCAGTTCCGTTTATCATCACACAAGCACTTGCTTTTAAAGGCAAATGGGGAAGGGAGGTTTTTACATCCTCCAATCAGCTTAAAGGTTACGAGAGCATGCATCCTGTCTCAATGCCTGGCTATTGCAATCACGCAGTGTTCTCGAGCGCGGAAGCGCGTATTTGGCCAATAAGGGCTAAGGCAAGGTTCCTGTGGACACTCCCACCCTACTTCCTCCCGGCGCTGTCTTAGGCTGCCACGTTAATACACCCTTGTGGGCCCATACTGGCACCGCTTGTAATGTCACTTAAGGTGGCATTAGTTTTTAAGACCCGACAGAAGTAAGCAGTAGAAACATCAGGGACAAGAGCGGTGCAGGCAGAGGGAAGAACAGATGCAAAGACGCTGAGGCTGGAGCCTGGTCAGTGTGTTCAAGGAGCATTGAAAAAGCTTTTGAGTGGCTGGCTGGTTAGCTCAGTTGGTTACAGCACGGTGTTGATAACACCAGGGTGAAGGGTTCGGATCCCCTAATCAGCCAGCAGCCAAAAAACAAAACAAAACAAAAAACAAACAAACAAAAGGAAAGCTCTTGAGCAGCTGCAGCAGAGTGAGAGAGTGATGGATGAGGTCAGAGGGACATGTAAGAGATTGTATAGGGCTCTGTAGGTCAAGATAAAAAGTTCAGCTTCACTCTGAATGCTGTGGAAAACCATTGGAGCATTTAAAGCAGAATAGTGACTTGGGCTTTAGAAGGGTCACTAGCTGCTGTATTTAGACTAGACTGGAGAGGGTCAAGGTCATTGGAAAGGAGACCAGGTGAGAGATGATGGTGGTTTAGACCAAGGTAGTAAAAGTGGACGTAATAAGAATTAATCAGATCCGGGTTAATTTTTTGAGGAATAACTGACATGACTTTCTGATAGTTTAGATGGGGAGGGTATGAAAGAAACAAGGAAGTTAAGGATGACTCCCAGATTTGTAGCTTAAACAATTGGAAGGATAGAATTGCCATTTACTGAGGTGGGAAATCCTTAGGTGGGATAGGGAGTTCAGTTTTTAAATATTAGGTTTAGGTGCCTATCCAGACATCCAAGTGGGTATGTCTGTTGGTACTCTCTGAATTATAAAGTATTTCTCACTGGATTCCATTCTAGTACTAATTCCTTATAATTCAGTCTTGAATGCTATAACTCATGATTTTTCTTCCATCCTCCATCACATTCTTCTATAAAACCTTTCAGTTAATAACCCTAACAACTTTAAGTCCCAATAATAATTGGCTATTTCATTTAAGTTTCAGAAGGACCAAAAAGAAGTTATAAGTCAGTATTTTAAAAGTAGATTAAGATGTAAATGGAGAACTGAATATTTCTCTCTATTTCCTGACAGTTGCTTTTACTTGCTAATTCCTGAGGTGAACAGATTTTGAAGGATGAGTGAACTGGAACAGTTGAGGCAGGAAGCAGAACAACTGCGGAATCAGATCCAGGTAAGAACTTTTTCATTTTGAAATTTTAACACTTTTATTTAGTATCAGCAATGTACAAAATTTGCTTATTAGTGTATCAGTCTACATATATTAAATAATTTATAAGGCTAGAAATGGTCAATTTGTTTTTATCATGCCTCTAAACTCTCCAAAAATTATTCCTAATAAGTACCTGTGTAGATGAATGGCCTCTGTGTCCCTGAGAAATTAATAGTATATCTGTAAGTCCAGCTGAAAGACAAACATAATTCTCTTATTCACACACCTGGAATCATAGATTTTTGGTGTAACATGATGAAGCAGATATTATCCATGTTGTAATATACTAGGAAAATATTAATCTCTAAAACATTAGGTTGCAGAAAAGCATTAAAAATTATTAATGGCCGAATCAAAGCATGTATGACACCTTTGTAGAAATCAATTCAGGACAAAAGCAAGGATAATAAACAAATACAAGCTCCAGATTTAACAAAAGACACTTAGAACTTCAAACCGTAATACATGTAGAAGAGCTGCCAAATGTGGGATGCCACAGCCTGTGGGAGGGCTCTGAGGGAAGGTGCCTGCTGCTGTAGAGCTCATACAAAGTAGGGAGTGCTCTCTAAGATGCAGCACCAGCAGTGATGGAAACAGGTGCAGCTTTGGACTTTGTTGGCGCTGAGGAATATCAAGGCAGGCAGAGCTCAACATGAAAGGATATAGGTGTGCCATCTTGTAGGAAGACTGTTGGTGAGCAGGGTGAAGGAGGGAGACTGAACTGTGAGCAGCCTAACAGCTGCCCACTTCTTTTTGCAGGAAAAAGTAAAGGCTCACACAACATACAGATATAAGCAGGGAGAATCGCTGGTCACTTGGGACAGAGCTATGGCCCTTGCCAATAGGAAGCTTTTGCAATAGCTGATTCAGAAGAACTTCTCTAATTTAAAATTGATGAATGCAATCTACACAGAGATATTACAAGAAAAGAGAAGAAGGGATCAAGAAAACAAGGAATAGATGAAGAACACTTCAGAAACATCTTGATTTTGAAAGGAATGAAGTCATAACTAGAATTATTGCCAGGAATTCAAGGATCTGAACAAAGCTTTCAAAACAAAGGAGGGATTTATTTTGCCTGGGATGATCACAGAAGGCTTTACAGGCTAATCTCTGCCACCATCAGAGCAGATTCCCCACCATCTCTACTTTGTGTCATACTCCAGATACTGAGCAGGAGCCAAACATATGGTCACATGCCCATCTCATTTAATCTTCATAGCAACCCTGTGAAGTAGATGGTGTTACTTCATTTTATAGTTGAAGAAACTGAGGCTCTATCACCAATGCTGTACTGCCTCCCAGCCTTATTTATAAATAACACCCTTCCCTGCAGCCTGTGTCATAGCCATACTAGCATGGTTGCCATTCCCTGAACATGCTTTGCTCTTTCCCACCTCATTGCCTTTTATCAAATTGTCTCTTTTGCCTGGAATTATACTAGCTGTGGTCCAATTTTGCTCTTTGGAATCCTGTCCATTGAGTCCTTATTCTCCTCCAAAAAGCCTTATGAGAGTTCTCCACTTGGATTTATTCTCTTTCTTTTACTGGAAGGCAGCATGTGCATGGACTCCACTTTGTTGTTACTTTGTGGCCCTGGGCAAGTTTCTTAACTTTTTTGATGATCATTATCTTTGCTGCGAAGCCTGAATATCAATGCCCACTTGTTAGGTTTGTGTATATTAAATAAAATAACATGTAAAAGGACTTAGCCTAATGCCAGTGAGTGGCAGTTCTTTATACAGCACATTAGACTTTTGTTATTGGGCTGATCACAGTCTGCCTTGTATTGTAATTCTTTGTGTACAATTGTACTTGGATGGAAAATTCTGTGTCTTGATCATCTTCATATCTCACCAGCACCCTAAGCACAGTGTCACGGGCAAGGTTCTCACTGAATTACCTCCTCACATGATAGCAAGTAACCACATGTATGTAAAATACCATGTACTTTTCTCCTTAGTTTAGTCATGTCACACTATATTTAAAGATCCTCCCTTCTAGAAATATAATCTAACTATATTTTTATCTAACTGTAGTATAAATACATGGCATAATAGAAATGTATGCTCTTTAGTGTAATACGATTTATTTTAAATTTAAAAAACACAAATAGAGAAAGAGAAAACATAGATTTTATTTTCTTTTGTAATTGTTACTTCTTTGATTTGGAACAAGAAGTATGTCAGTTTTCTTTTCTTTTGCACAAAGATGTTAATATCAGGTCTTCTATTTTTCTCATTGTGGTGTGCAGTATGGACTTCAGCCTTTAAGTGGTAATACTTTTATTACATTGTTTTTTTCTTTTTTAACTTTTGTGAATTTGTTTTTATTGGGATATAGGACATGGGTTGGGAAATGTCACCTTTGGGTATGCCCTCCCCCACAGGGAATGTCCATTCTTCCTGAGATGGTTTTTGGAACTTTTTTTTTTTAAAGATGACCGGTAAGGGGATCTCAACCCTTGGCTTGGTGTTGTCAGCACCACGCTCAGCCAGTGAGCAAACCGGCCATCCCTATATAGGATCCGAACCCGTGGCCTTGGTGTTATCAGCACCGCACTCTACCGAGTGAGCCACAGGCCGGCCTTTGGAACTTTTTCTTTTTGTGGAGCTGTTCTTGCTGCCAGCAGCTGCTGCTTGTATTCCAAAATGTTTTAATTGTTGGTACCAGTTTGCACTGTAGTTTAATAATTTTCATTTGCAGTTTAAAAATTATTAATATTAATGTAAGCTCTATGAGGGGAGAGATGTTTGATTTGTTTAGTGCTATATCCATGGTGCCTAGAATAGTACTTGACATATTCAACTGATTCTTTATGAAACAATTGAATCAAGAAAGATGGCCTGAACAATAATAGTTAATCTTCATAAAGCTTGGAATCAGAGAACCTTTTTTTAGAATTTAGTCTCTGACGCCAACATTTTTGGAACATCGCTCAGGCCATTACTGTCATTTCCAAAAATTCTTTTCATTGTAGAAAAGTGGGCTAAATTATTCCTTGCCATATGAGGTCTCTCAACCCACAATTTGGCTAAGAATGAGAGAATCAAATCATATATTTGTGCATCTACTTGTGAACACCTTTACATGGAAATATTCTAATTGTTTATAAATAGGTTGAAAGGGCAGCCAGAAAGGTCATGTCTTCCATCCAGTCTTTGCTGCAAGCCAAGGCAGTGTTTTTTCCTTGGCTCACTGGAACAAGTTGTGTACTTAGGACATTTGCAGTATTCCAACAAATACTGTATGCCTTCTCTTTGCCCAGGAGTATTCAGTCCTTACTGTAGGGAAGAAAACAAAATTGAAGAGGATACTGCCCTAACCTTTGAGGAAAAAAAAATTTGTTTTAAGTCTAGCAGGAAGGGTTAACCATACTTCCGATTTTCCCGTATATATGAATCCTCTAAATTTGTTATATTTTAAAGTTTTTTTCTTTTTTTAAATGGGCGTATAGTATAGACCTCTAAATTTGTTAACTGTTAAATTTGGTTTAAAATGTTTTGGTGTGTATTGAATGTTATTTGCTGCTTTTCTTATTTTATGTTGATTTCTGTTTCACTGTCTTCCTTTAGATAATTCCCTTCAGTTTGTATAAAAACTTGAGGTCTCTTTGAAAGGCTACCTTATAATGCTTAGGCATAAACACCTGCTTACATGTAAGGAATTTGCTCTTAATATGAAAATATAGACGCCTCTTTGTGTAAATTGTTGCCTATTACATAGAAAAATGTTTCCTGAGATATCTTTTTTGGATATTGGATCTAAAATATTGTATTTCTAATAACATCTGTGTACAGTATATTAGCAAAGCCTTTTAAAGAAGTGTCTTGTATTTTCTTTTAGCATTTCTGAAATGACCTGAAGTATAGTATAAATATCCTTCCTGTCATCTCAACTTTTAGGTATCAGGACAAAAAGAAGGACACTCAGAACTTTTGCCTTCTGCTAAAGCTTAGTGACAAATATAACTGAATGTTATAGGCTTATTAAGTCAATCTAGATTATTTTTAATCAGGAGATACAATTTTTAAAAAACCTTAATCATAAGTCAAAAGTATATTTGTACAGTAAAATAAAATTGATAGTTTATAAATAAATCTATACATCTGTGGTCAGTTGACTTTCAACAAGGATAACAAGACTATTCAAAGGGAAAGAATAGTCTTTTCAACAAATGGTCCTCGGACCACTGGATATCCACATGCAAAAGTATGAATTTGGACCTTACATCATATACAAAAATTAACTCAAAATGAAACCTAAGTATAACACATAAAAATGTATAATTCTTGGAAGTAAACATATTTGTAAATCTTCATGACCTTGGATTAGGCAACAGTTAAATATGACACCAAAAGTGCAAGCAATAAAAGAAAAAACAGATAAATTGAACTTTATCAAAATTAAAAACAAAGGATGCTATCAAGAAAATGAAAGCAAAAGGATGGGAGAAAATATTTGCAAATCACACATCTGATAAGTATCTAATATCTGGAATATATAAAGAACTCCTACAACTGAAAAATAAAAAGGCAAACAACCCAATTTAAATATTGGCAAAGGCTTTGAATAGACATTCCTCTGAAGAATATATATATATATATATATATATATATATGGCCAATAAATGCATGAAAAGATATTTAACATGATTAATCATTAGGGAAATACAAATCAAAACCACAATGAGATACCACTTCATGCCCACTAAGATGGCTATAATAAAAAAAGTGGAAAATAACAAGAGTCAGTGAAGATGCAAAGAAATCGGAACCCTCATACATTTACTGATGGGAATGTAAAATGGTACATCTGCTGTGAAAAACAATTTGGCATCTCCTCAAAAAGTTAGACACAGAGTTGCGTATCACCCACCAAAAGAGAACTGAAAACAAAGATGCACACCAAAACTTATACATGAATGTTCAGAATGTAAAATGGTACATCTGCTGTGAAAAACAATTTGGCATCTCCTCAAAAAGTTAGACACAGAGTTGCATATCACCCACCAAAAGAGAACTGAAAACAAAGATGCACACCAAAACTTATACATGAATGTTCATAGCATCCTTATTCATAATAGCCAAAAAGTGAAAATAATCCAGATGTCCATCAGTTTTGATTAATGTATAAACAAAATGTGGTATATCCATAGAATGGAATATTATTTAGCCATAAAAAGAAATTAAGTACCGATATGTACTACAACATGGATGAACCTTAAAAACATGCACAGTGAAAGAAGCCAGACACAGAACACCACATATTGCATGGTTCCATTTATATGAAATGTTTGGAATTGGCAAATCCATACAGAAAGAAAGTAAATTAGTGATTGGGGGGGATATGGAGAAAAAGGAATTGGGAGGTATGGGGTTTCTTTTTAGGGGAGGTGAAAATGTTCTCAAATTAATGGTGATGGTTGCACAACATTGTGAATATGTTTAAAAAATAACTAAATTATATACCTTAAAATGGTTAATTTTATGTTAGGTGAATTTTATCTTGATAAGAAAATTTTTAAAATAAAGACTGTGGTACAATAAAGTATATTTGCAATAATGCATTTTCTGTGTTTTCAATAAAAAACATTATTTTAATCATATCTAGGGGTTTCCACATCTAAATGTATTGTAATCCTCTTTCTTTGCTTCAGGATGCTAGGAAAGCATGTAATGATGCAACGCTTGTTCAGGTAAGGTTTTCTTTCCCCTCAATTCATTTTTGTAATTCACATAGAGCAACCTGATACTGATGCAAATGACATTACGATTCTTTCTATCAGTACTTAATTAGAAAAAATAAATTTAGATCTCTATACAAAAACACTTTGTAATTTGTCAAGTGCTCTACAGTACAAATGCTTTTAAAAACATACTGTTAAGACAGTCTGTGGAAAATAAATGGTACAAAAATAGGTAGGCTCTTTTAGTGTATGCTTCTTGTTAAGTAGTTTCTGATTCTTTTTGGGATACCCCGATTATCCTTTTTTTTTTTTTCCTCCTTATAGAAATCTTAGGAAGGTTTTATTAACTTAATTAATATTTATTATTTTTATTAAGGAAATATTTTATGTGTTGTACCAATGTAAAACTTTAAAATTTTATAAAATTTTCTTTTACACAATTAAAATTATAAATATTTTGATCATCAAATACTAGATTTTTATTTGTGGCCTTGTTTTTTCTTTTTTTTTGCTAAAGTTTAGAAGTATGTCAGTTCTTTTTAGTTAATAGTATGCAAAAGATATTTTAACCTATAATAATACATAGGTAAATTATTTTAAACTAATCATAGTTTTTCATGAACAAACATAGATGAGAAACATAGATCGGATTATTTTAAACTAATCATGGTTTTTCATGAAAAACATATTGATCTCATAAAGACTCTGTGGAACTATTTATATTAAGTGACCTCAATTGCTATAAATTTATTTTATGTCTGACTTTTTTGCCTGCTAATTATTTTCAATTTCTTATCTCCTGAATTATGTCTAAGGTAAAGAATAACATTTTTATCACTAAAGGTCACATCGAATATGGACTCTGTGGGTCGAATACAAATGCGAACAAGACGTACATTGAGGGGTCACCTAGCTAAAATCTATGCCATGCATTGGGGATATGATTCAAGGTTTGTACCTGTCAATTTCAAACTGTCAGCAGAATTATTTTCATTAAGAATCATTATTTGCATTTTCTTTGTTTAAAAATAAACTATATTTGTGAAGCATTTGCAGAAAATGCATCCAATATGAGCACTTTGCTTTCACTAAGAATGTTCATTGACACTTTAAAAGTTTAAAAATCTTTAACATGGAAAATAAATTTACCTCTCAAAAATAATTTTATCATATGATCCAGGAAATCTATTTAGAAGAGGGTTTCTTCGCATTGGGTATTATACTTTGTTTTTAATATGCCAAAAGCAGTTTTATTATATATTAACCTTGAAATTTCAGTTAATAGGCACATATTTATATATTAATATATATAACAAAACAGTTAATATAACAAATATTGTTATAAATAAATATAAACATTTCAGTTAATAGGCAAATATTAACTTCTGTGTACAAATTACTGCATATTGCTGTAATTACTTATTGCCTAAATTTGCAAAGGATGGAATTACAGGAAACAAGGATATTTTCATTGACTGCAGCCCCAACATGTGAATGAATGCATGTACTTGGAGTAGGGACATCCATGAGCGCACATGCGCACACACAGCTGCCACCTGGCTTGTGGTTGGTTTAGTCATCACGATTCATTATGTTTATAGGGTTACAGTGCAGCCTGTGCTTTTTCCAGAGTGTCTGGCGATAGCAGATTTGCCTGCTGCCACAGTGGTTGACTTGTTTATTTAATTTGGTTAATCTTATTGGAAAAGGTCCAAACCAAGAAATTATTTTTTAATACAAGGTGCATGTTTATTTTCTTGTTCCAGGAGGAGACACTAAAATTGTCAAGTAGAGGAAACCTCACTTACTTGCTGTTCTCTGATGGAAATGGGATGCTTGAGTACCATAATGTAGAACATATGCCTCTTAGGAGGGGATAAATAAAATTATCTGATTGGCAAATGACAAAGCTGGGGCAAATGTTTTATTACTTTTTTCCAAGAAGTTTAAGATAAAAATAATTTGATGATATAGCAAATTTTTAACTCAAAATACAGTCACTTGAAACAATGTTAGTGGTTCTTGCTTTTGTTAAAAATTTTCTCAAGACTATTAATCTTCATAGAAAAACAAAAGTATTAACCAAAGACCTATCTCACATTATCTTTCTATTCATTCTGTTTATCAGCTCGTTACTTAACATTCTTCTCAACTCATATGCTGGTGGTGCCAATTGATTTTTTAAAAATTTTCTTTAGGTTCCATCCCATACCCCACTATCAGATCTTACCTTTTTTAAAACTTATAATGATTGCTACACAATAACCTATATGTTATTTACCTGTAGGGAAGGGATCTGGGTAGGGGGGCTTTTTCATTGTATGTCCTTTTGTACCTTTTTATTTTATACCGTGGTGAAAAATAAAAGTTTAAAACAAAAAATTCAGTGACTAGTAAGTACTTAGTCAAGAGTTCATACTCCTTAGCCTAGCAAACCAAGCTTTCTGCAGTTTAAGTCCAGTCTGCTTTTCTCAACTTGTTTTTCCTATTTCTCACAAACTCTATATAACTGGAAGATCCACAATTTTGAAACACCCTCTATATGTTTCCACCTTTTGTCATTGATCATTCTTGAATACAGACTTTTCTCTATCGTTAGCTCTCAAAATTTCATTTTTCAAGACACATTCGATTAACTCAACTAGCAGTTGCTCATTCCTCCCCCCCCATTATATTTATATTATACCAATCTTCTGACAGTTTTTACTTGATTTATTGTAATATGCATAAATGTCTTATCTCCACCAGATGGTAGAGGCATCAAGAGCAGGAGGCATATCCTGCATGGTACCTGTAACACTGCCTTGCATTCACAGGCTCTCAAGCGGTGTTTTTAGACTGAGTGTAATATGATTGTTAAGCTTATATGTACTCTATTGTCATTAGATTTAAGCAAGTCAGTAAATACTAAATCAGTCAGTTAATGTTTTCCAAAATCTTGAATAATAACTAAAATGTTATCATGAAAAAGTTGAATCATAGCCAGAGACAATTTTTGTCAATTGCTAAATTCTATTTTATGATTTATGTTCAAAGTTTTTGCATGCGGCATACATTTTTTGAAAGTTGGAAGAACATTTTTTGGTATCAAGTTTTTAATTAGAAAATTGTATTTTTCCTTTCGGAGCTATTCTACATTAATGCAATGTGTAACTAACTTGAACTACTTTTTTCCTCCAAAGATCAAATTACTGTTGTGTTTGTTCCTTTAGGCTACTGGTCAGTGCTTCCCAAGATGGAAAATTAATTATTTGGGATAGCTATACCACAAATAAGGTAGAATTTCTTAATCATTCTTTTAAATAATATTTTATTTGGTTTGCTGTCCACCAATTCTTTATTTTATTACTTCAAACTTTAATTGCCTTCTGAGATGAATTTATTCTATTTATTTTAACCTAGATCTATTTAGGCTTAGTGTTTTCTTTTAATATTTAGTTCTTTTTTATTTCCAAGGAGAACTACAGAAATATTGTTCAGTTTGTTTTACCTGAGTCTCATATTTCACACTTGAATATTAGAAAAGTATCATTTTTACATATAAAAGAAAATTTTAAAAAATTCCCATTTCCTAAAATGACAGTGACCTAAAATTTTTATTTCTAGTTGTGGGTAAGCTAGATGGCTAGAGTCAAGCTTTCGTTTGGTCCACACCAGGCACTGATTTGTGTTTCTGGACTGCTTGAAAGATACACTAGATCAGAGGCAAATTACAACTTGTTTAATCTCTCGGTAGGGAAAGTCTGTGTATTCTCTTAATACATCTACTGGAAGGAATCCCTGATTTAAAGTGTTGAGTGATTGTGAAAGAGCTTTGGGAATACATTCACAAGTCGAATACCTTTATATTCTGTTTACACATATCAGTATTTTTATTAAACATTTGAAAATAGTATTTTCTGAAATAAATAATAACTTCAGCCTGATTGAGATTTAAAACTAGCTAAGACAATTATGTAATATAAGTTTTTCTATATTAAACATGTATCTTTCAACTATATTTCCTAAAATAAAAAAAATTATATTTTAAATATACCATTTTAAGTTAAGAAGAGCACAGTAGTAATCATGTGTTGATTCCCTGTATGGGCCATTTAGCCTTGGTATTCCCATACACCTTAAATTTTTCCATCTGACCTGAAGTGATTGGTGTTGGGGTAACAAGGCACTAGACGGTGATGTGATTAGATCAGTACAAAACTATCACCATTGTTTGAATGAGATCCCAGAATATGTGCCTGTTAATAGGAGGATGGTAGTGTCATCTCTTCATGGAAGAACCATTAATCCACTCTGATAATTCCTAATTACCTACCTTTTTATTGTTAAGTGTTATGTTGGAGGAAACTCCTCTTTTGAGCACTACTGCAAAAACAAAGAATTTATTAAAATCTTTAACATGTTACACTTAATTTTTCAATTGGCTATATTAGCAATAAAACATCTTTATTTCCTTGCTTCTATTAAAAGACATTTCTAAAAAGAGCAATTCTTAACTCTGAATGATTTGATAATACAGAAAAAATAATAGCCATTTTTATGTGCGTTAGTATTTTATTTTTCATTGTTCACCTTCTCAAGCCATGTCATTATTTTATTTTGCTTATTTTTCTTAAATGTATTTAATTTTTAGTAATATTTATTTCATTATAAGGTTTAAAAAATGAATGACTATTTTTTAATGATTGCTTAGTAATAGTTTTTGTGTTTGTATTTGTTCTGCAGATGCATGCTATTCCCTTGAGGTCCTCCTGGGTGATGACCTGTGCTTATGCTCCCTCTGGTAATTACGTTGCTTGTGGAGGCTTGGACAACATCTGCTCTATATATAACTTAAAAACCAGAGAGGGAAACGTGAGAGTGAGCCGAGAGTTGCCAGGTCACACAGGTGAGCTTCACTAAATATTATTCTTTTCTACTGAACCTGACTCCTTCCATAGAATGTGCTGATCAAAGACAATGAGTGACAGATTGTGCTCAGCTGGCTAAAGGATGAGTATTAATTGAGTGAGAGGAGAAATTGCTATGAATCAGGAGAACGTTAACTTTTTGTAATTATACAGTGATGACCATAATTTTATTTTTCTTTAAAAAATAGCTGTATTGTTTTTGTTAAAATGATAAATTTACTGCAAAATTTCAAGCAATAATGAAAAATATAAGAAGAAAGCAAATATACTTCTCTGGCTTTTTTGCTACCATATAAAGGGATTGTGGTGTCTGTACTCAATCATATCATTAAAAATATGCATTAAGATACATTAACAAAGTATTTTTTTACTAGGACAGTGTGTTGTTTTATTTGCTGTGTGCATGCCTAGTTCAATAGTGTAGAATTTGGTTAGCAGTGTTAATTAGGAATTTATTACCTCATATGGTTTCTACCCATCTGAATTTTTGGCAGTACTGTTTGACCATGCTTTAACAAATCTTAGAATGGTGTTTTCCTGTTGTTTCCATATTTTGGAACACTAATGAATGCTAAGCATTTAAATGCTGTATCTTTCACTGATGTTCTTCTAAGTTCTTACAATATTTTTAAAGTATTTTCTCCAAGGTTATATGCCATAGATTACAGTTACTTGTGTAAAGGAATATCTCTTCCCTACATAATTGTCTTAGGTGGCAGGAGCCATGTCTTACTCAACTTTGTAACTTTCAGAGTGGCCAGCACAATGTCATTGACACACCTAAGGAAGGTTTGTTGATAAAATTTAGGTACAGATAGAGTTTGAAGAAACTAGAGCAGAACTGTAGATTATATTGATAAATACTTGTTGCCCAGGTATTATATTTTTAAAAATAAATGTTACTATTTCGTATGGTAATTGATTTATTCGATCCATGATAACCTAAAATTTGCTACTGTCTGTGCTGTAGGCTACTTGTCCTGCTGTCGTTTTTTAGATGACAGCCAAATTGTTACAAGTTCAGGAGATACAACTTGGTAAGTTTATTCCAGAAGAACACTGTTTTGGGGATCAAGGGTAGTAGTAGGAACTAACTTAAGAAGAGATAGTAATCATTTTAAGTATTTTTATTTATTTATTTTTAATTATAGTGCTTTATGGGACATTGAAACTGCCCAGCAAACCACTACATTCACTGGGCATTCTGGAGATGTGATGAGTCTTTCTCTGAGTCCTGACATGAGGACTTTTGTTTCTGGAGCTTGTGATGCCTCTTCCAAATTATGGGATATTCGAGATGGAATGTGTAGACAGTCTTTCACAGGACATCTCTCAGATATTAATGCTGTCAGTGTAAGTATCATTTCAAAGACAATTTATTATGCATTTAAAGTGTTGAACTCTGTGGCATGATTTTAACAACAAATTGCCTTTGAGGATTCTTTTTTTTTTTTTCCCTTTTTGTCTTTTTCCGTGTCTGGCAACGGATCGCAACCCTCAGTGTCGCCTGAGGATTCTTATAAATAATATGCTCTTACAACATTGAATCACCAAGTAATAAGGGTTTGATTTTTTAAAAAAGAAAGTTTTAATTCATAGGCCTAAATCTTTATTTTCAGGTGAACAATATGTTTTATTTCCAAACTTAGACAGGTTGATTATCTTGACCAAACAGGCAGATCTTAAATGTCCATAACAGTGTGTTCAGATGAGAAAAAAGTCCTATTTCTTTGAGGCCAAAGGGAACAACCCAAAGAGAACAATAAGGAAAAAGAAGGGAGCTGTTTAGTTTAGAATATAGCTTTCGAAGTCAAAATCTTAGTTCTGCCATTAACCAGTTGTGTGAGACTAGTCAAGCTACTTAATCTTTGTCAGCCTCAGATTCATCAGTTTGTTGTTTTTTTTTTTTCCTTTTTTTTTTTGTCTTTTTTCGTGTCCGGCAACGGTATCGCAACCCTTGGCGTCACGCCCGCACCTCGCTCAGCCAGTGAGCGGGAACCGGTCTGCACGTGGGATCTGAACCCTCGGCGGGAGCGCCGCCGCGCTTCCCAAGCGGCGCACTGCAGCAGTGCACCACCGGGCCGGCCCTGATTCATCAGTTTTTGAAATAGGGATAATCCACGTACATCAAGGAATGGTTTAGAGACTAAATGAAAGTATGTTTTAGATGCTCAGTAAATGCTATAAATTATGTACAAGCTACTTCATATTAAACAGATTACCACAATAGATAAAGCCAGATAAAACATACCCGGTATATAAGAGGATGAATTAATCATGTGTGTTTGTAAATTAGGACAAAGCAAAAATGACATTTGGAATGACAAAATGGTTATCAAATGGTCAGAATTGAGGGGGAGGGGTGTTCAGAGAAGATGGGATACTGCTTGAGTTAGGTAAATGGCCTTATGTAGATCTGATACCAAAATGTATAGATGTGACTAAAATTTCCATAAGTACCATAATTGCCAGTGATTAGATGTATAAAACATATTCTAATTTTACAAGAAGATTTTTTTGGGTGAAAGATTGGTAAGTTTTTCTTTGAAGGTCATTTTTATATGACTTTGTAAAGAGCATCAGAGAAAGTAAATGCTTTGCTAACCACAACACACCCCACCCTTTCTCCTTAGGCCAACCTGCTTAGAACTATAGAGTTTTCATGTAGCCTGACCCAACCCTCTCCATCTCTCACCCCATCACTTCTGTCAGGTTGAGGATGTTCTCTGATTTTCTTAATTTGCTAAGTTTTTGTCAGGAGTGAGTATTGAATTTTATCAAGTGCTTTTTCTCCATCTATAGAGATGATCAGGTGGTTTTTCTCTTCTGGTCTGTTAAAATGGCAAATTTACATTCTTTGGGTTTTTTTTTGTGTTGGGAAAATAGAATAGTTTGGTCAGGCTCCCTCACCTTGGGGCAGGTTGGGGGTGGTGTGACACATTCTTGGTAAGCAAATTGTGTGTGTTTGGGTGGAGTTAGTGTGCATGCGAGGCGCCGTGGCTTGGCTGGTGTCTGCCTCGGCATCCACATGGTGCACGGCCTTGCTCTCTGACCTACGGCTTCCAAGGACCTGTTTGCCAGTTACCTAGCTCCAACTGCATGGGAAGGGTCTGGTGACCCAGCCTGGCATGTGAGGGGTCTGGGGACCCAGCCTGGCATGTGAAGGGTTTGTGACCCAGTCTGGACAATGGGCTTGAGGGCTCTGTGAACTCCAGACCCATCCCTCGCTCGGCAGTTGGTCTAGACAGCAGGATTATGGGCAGGTAAAAGAGCACCACAATTGGCGTAGTCTGCAACAGGATTCTGAACAGGTACAGGAGCCGAAAGCCCTTAGAAGAAGGAGGAAATGTGGCTACTTGTGAATATGCTCTGCCCTATGGCCACCTTCCTTTTGACCGGGATCTGGTTGCTACACACTGTACTGCAAGGCAGCATAGACCTGGCACTACAATGGAAAACCCCTTGGGAGGGGGAGGATATGTGGCTATCCTGAGCATGTGGTGCCTGGTGGCCACTTTTCTGCTGACTGGAGCCAGGGTGCTGCTCACTACGCTGCAAACCGATCAAGATTTGTGGCAGAAAGCAGAGTTGTTGGAAGCACAGGTAAATGTCCTGGAGGATGACGTGCAGTGACTGGTCACTCCTGCCTCTCACATCAGGGAAGACGACTAACCCAGTGGTGAGTTGGGGAAACCGTGTGTCTCCAGGTATGATGTGTTGTGCACAAGAAATTGAGACAGTAAAGAGCAGAAACAGGGAGAGCCCCTGGCTGCTGCAGCTATGGGACCTAGGGGTGGATTGTGTAACGTGCTCTAGAGATGATATAGTAAATGTGCGTTACATTTGTCTGAAGGCAAAAGGCTCGGAGGATGCCACTTAAACCTGATGGCTGGACAGGTGCCATATAAACCCGAGGAAAGAGTGCCACATGCAGATGGGCAGATGACCCAAGGACGAGGGCCCCTGAAGAATTTCAAGAATGTTTTTATCTGGTGAAAAGGTGGAAAAGTTGGTCTCTGTTACTACACACCTGTCTCAGTGGCAGCAGTTACAGGAGAGCCACAGATAGGCACAGGAGCAGGGCAGCCACTCCTTGATGGACTGGGCGAATGCAGCTGTTTGAACTGTGTGGGTGAATGCTGCTGAACTGCCTGAGACCGAGTGACTAGCCGGTGTAAGCCGAGGGAATTCAAGTAATTCAGAAGCTGAGGATGGGGCAGCTAGATGCTAATAACCGGGACAATGGGTGGGAAAAATGCCCTAAAGGCATTTGAGAAGTCTGGAAGGGTGCTCCACCCATCACAGGCCCTGAGGCATAGAAGGACTGAGTTGTCCAGAGGACAGACCTGGGGCACTACTGCCCTTGGCAAACTGCTCCCTGCATCCCAGCCTCTCTGGCTGGAGCAATCCTGCCTCAGCACCTCCGAAGAGCAAAAGCCAAAAACCTTGGTGGCGTTCACGTTGTGTTAAATTTGCAGGGCAGCAGTATGTGAGAGTAGTGGAGGTGTGGCAGCCTCCACCTAGATTTTGGAAGATGTATGGAAAAGCCTGAGGACTCAGGCGGAGACCTGCTACAGGGGTGGAGCTGCTGCAGAGGTCATCTGCGGAGCAATGTGGAGCAGAAAAGTGGGGTCAGAGCCCCCACAGGGAGCCCCCACTGAGGAAATGTTTAGTGGAGCCGGGATGGCGGGACTGTTACAGGAGTCCAGAACCACGGGGCTGCTGGCAGTGTGCAGCGCCAGCCTGCAGAAGCTGCAGGCACCAGGGCAGCTCAATGGGCTGCACTTGGCGGAGCTGTAGGAGCAAGGTGGTCCAACACTTTAGGGATCCAGGTGCCCCACTGTGCTTAATGTTTCCCCTGTTTGGGTTTTGGATTTGTTTGGGGACTGTTTTTCCTTTCTATTCCTACCTTCTGGAATGGGAATGTGTACCCAATGTCTGTCCCACTGTATCTTGGAAGTAGATAAACTTGTTTTTGACTCTTTACAGGTTCATGGCTGAAAGGAGTTTTGCCTTTAGTCTCAGATGAGACTTTGGACTTTGGACTTTTGAATTGGTGCTGCAACAAGCTAAAGACTTTTGGGACTGGGATGGAATGTGTAATATGTAAATGTAAGGGTTGTCTATTCTTGCTAAGGGAATGTCGTGGAAGATTCTGAGTGTGTAGATTGTACGGCGAGGGACCCTGAAGGGGTGGATTGTTGGGAAAATAGATAGTTTGGTCAGGCTCCCTCACCTCGGGGCAGGTTGGGGGTGGTGCAGCACATTCTTGGTAAGCAAATTGTGTGTGTGGGGTGGGGTTAGTGCGCAAGTGTGGTGCCGCAGCTTGGCTGGCATCTGCCTTAGATGTCTGCGCAGCGCATGGCCTTGCTCTTCGACCTATGGCTTCCAAGGACCTGTTTGCCAATTACCTAGCTCATAGACCTGTGTGTGAGGGATCTGGTGACCCAGCCTGGTGTGTGAGGGGTCTGGGGACCCAGCCTTGCATGTGAAGGGTTTGTGACCCAATCTGAACAATGGGCTTGAGGGGTTTGTGAGCTCCAGACCCAGCCCTAACTCGACAGTTGGTCCAGTTGGCAAGATTACAGGCAGGTAAAAGAGCTCTACAGGGGCCAAGACATTAGCACTGCTTTTATTAAAATTTTATTAAAATATAAGTAAATATAGAGGCTTCCTTTTGGAATCAAATGCCTCAAACAAAGATATTATAACTTTTTTTTTCTCAGATGGAATTATAACCAGTATTATTATATTTTCATTTTTAAATTATATTCATTGGAGGTTTCAATTTAGCAGTGAAATTTATTTTTTTTGTAGGTTTTATTTGGTTTTTTTAATTTTAATTTTTTTCATTGTGCATGTTTTATGGGATACAGTTTGCTTCAGTACACATATATATTGTATAATGGTCTAGTCAGAATAGTTAGGATATCTGTCACCTAAACATTTATCATTTCTTTCTGGTTGTAACGTTCAAGATCCTCTTTTCTGGCTATCTTGAAATATACAGTACAATATTATTAGCTGTTGTCGCACTAGGGCACCAGAATTTATTCTTCCTATCTAACTGTAGCTTTGTAACTTTGTGCTAGTCTACCAAGCTTTCCCTGGCCCCCTTCCTTAACAGTGAAATTTCTCACACTGTCAAGAAGGAACCAGAGTAGTTTCATTTGCAGCTGAGCTCCATATAAAACCTCACTGAATAGTTCACTGATTGAATTGCTGAAATATTCTTCTTGGCCCTATACTTGGGTGGCCTTCAGGTGTCTCTCGGCAGTAAAAATACTGTTAATAATTATAAAGTGTGATTATTAATTTCATTAACCCAGGGCCAAATTTAATCATTTCTATCA